TAACTGTCATCTTCTCTCTGCAAATCTATTCTTTTGACACATTATTGAAATCAAGGAGTTGCAGAGAAGAGCCTGAAGCTGAGTGTTTTGTTATAAAAGAATGTGTTCAGCCAATAGATTCTGTCAGAAGGGCTCAGACAGCTGACTAGATTCAAGTGGCTAAAAACAAATACGCTGAATAACTTAGTGTTGTAATTATCTGATGTATTTTGGCAATCAGAATTCACAATTCAGAACAGTATCGGATTGCATCACGCAAGAAGGAACATGTAGAAACTCATGTGTGCCTTGTAGCTAAATTCGGGGTTTGAGAATGGTTTATAGTCTTCATCAGAACATGACGTGGTGGCCACTGCAACTTGGCTTGTGATTTTGCAGTGTAAGCACTATGGTTGGTTCTGGAGAAGGGTTAATTCCTTTGGTTTTGCCTTATGACCACTTGAGGATGGGAAGCATGATGAAATACTTTCTCAAAGTGTTCAATAGAAACTTATCATGAATAATTGGAGCAAAATAGAATAAATCAAGGCTTTTTTTTTTTTTTGGCCTGGTAATTCATAATTGAAACCACATTGAGGTTAGGTTGATATTCAGAACAAACCAGCTGAAAAAGCCTTACCCACAGAGGCAGGGGATCTCTCTCTGTTTTGCTTAGATGTATAGAAATGCTTAGCTACTGTTTAAGTTCAACACGCTGTTGTCCTTACCTCTGTGCTTTTAAAAGACAGTGAGTTGTTGTTGCTCAGACTGTGTGGTTTCACTAATATGTGGTTATAACAAGCAGTCTAGTTATTGAGCGTAAAACAGGGAGGAGAGCCCCACTGTCCTGTTCTTGGGAGCAGTGGAAGTCCATTATTCTAAAGTGTTGCTGCTGAGTTTTCTCATGAGATGTTAGCTGGGAAGTTCTTGACTGTTTTCTGTAATAATGGGACAGCCTTACACAGTCTGGTTTTCCTAGACCATTCTGGGATGCAGTTTGTAATGTGTCTGTTGTGTCTTTCTCCAAGCCTCTTTCAATGGTACTCAGTGTACACCCAAGTAATTTTTGGGATAGGACCCTGTGTTATGTCTGGTAGCTTGCCAATACGTTTGAGGCTCTGTAGCATTTATTATGATTGGCCAGTTCTCAGGCCAGTTTTGTTCATTGATGTCCTGAAGCTCCCATCTATCTCACTTCTGTAGCCTGCTGAGAACAGTCTGTTTAGAACTTCTCTGCTAACTTGAACCCAAGACTCCACGTCGAGTCCAACCTTAAGCATCCCACATACTGAGAATGCAGCTCCCTTGATACCTTGTCCTTAATGTATTAGCTCTTCCTAAAATAGAATCCAGTTGGTTTTAATGACCAAGAGGTAGGGCAATATTTGATGTATCTATAGTAAAGATAATATGCCCTATTTCTACGGTATTATTAGACATGCACACTAGTGGATAGCGTGCACAAGACAGCTGTAGCAGTCTGAATCCTTCCTCGTATATGTACCCATTCCTGAATTCTTCTTTCTCCTCAACTTCAGGCTATACTAAGTTCTCACTGCCATTCAGGTCCTACAACTTAGGATTTTCATGTGAACTGCAAAATGCTGTCAGATGAGCGAGACCGTAAGAACTAAGTGACATGAGATTACTCTTAGGAAACTGGCATTTGAACTTGATCCTTTTTGCCTATAAAAACAACCTATTAATCTTAGATTAATTACCCTGGCTCTTCTAATGATATTAGCGAGACTGAGTGGTTGTCTTATCCATAGCTGAGTGTCAGCACTTTGTCAAAGAAGGGTGATGAATGATCAATCCACTGTTGCTGTTTGCTCTTCTCTCTGAAAGTTCCTGTGACTGTTAATGGGACTAGAGCAAATGTTCCTTCACCACTTGGTTTCTTGAGCAGTGACTGGGAGAACCCATCCCTATGTCGTTATCCACTTCATGCTTTGCTGCTTAATAGAGATTTAATTAGGTTGCTGTTGAATTAATCCCCTGTATGGTTGTTTTTCCCAAGCAGAAATCTGGAAGACTTTAAGAAATTATGGAGGCTTGAATTTGCCTGATTTCCTGCAGAAAGTGGGGTCAATAGGTCTCAGACTGTAGACACACTCTTCAGGCAGGCAGCAGGGGGTTGGCTCTTAATGGCACTTGAGAGATGCTTAATTGCCTTTTTGAAATGTTTTGCTCAAGTGAGAGGTATGGTTCTCCCGTGCATTAGTGTGTGTCTACAGGCTTTTCGCTCTTGCTATCACCCTTTAGTAGGTGCACGAGCAAAAATACCTCAAAAGTTGCCTTAGATTTCCTAAGTTATAACCAGCAAGGGAGGATTTTCATTCCTTTCTGAAAGTAGTAAAAGTTGGAATTTCAGTAATGTACCTTAAACTTAAGGTTTTAAGAGAAAGCATGATAAATACTTTAGGCAGATGTGTTTTTTTTCCTGTAAGTAACTAAAATACTCTTTAATAACAGAGAATCATAGAATCATAGAATAGTTAGGGTTGGAAAGGACCTTAAGATCATCTAGTTCCAACCCCCAAGGATTAATCCTTTTCCAAAGGTATTATAGCAAGTAATTTGTTAGGAAATGCTGTTGCCAGAGAGAAAAAGTAACCAGAAAACCTTCAAGTGGGAGCCATTAATTTAGGTGGCAATACTTGCCCGTAGTAAATAAAGTATTGTCCATAGAGTACCAGTTACTACTCCTTGTAGGGCAGAAACACAAGATTTTCTTGGCGCTCTGAGTATGATGTTAAACCTCTCCTTCAAGTATTAATGAAGAGAGGTTTCTGAAAGTTGTTTTAAGCTGCTCAACATTACAAGAGTCATTTGGGTAACAGCAGTCTTGGGGTGGGGGTTGTATGGAAAGGAGTCTGTAATGTTTTAATGAGGTGGATTATGCTCTGGTAGCATTTATGTTGTGATTTGCTGGAGCAAAGTCAGAGGGCTGTCCCCATCTGCCACCAGTCATCTTGTAGAATTAGCAAAAGGATGTGTAATAGATTTAATTTTAGAAAATGTATTACTCTGAAAGCAGGTTTGTCTCTTCACGTATCAACTGCTGAAGTAATGGGTATATTCTCTTCATCAGGAACTGTAGCGATAGAACAAGGGGTGATGGGTTTAAACTGAAGCAGGGGAAATTCAAGACCACGTTGGATAGAGTCTTGGGTGATGGAGTCTACTGTGAGGCATCCCTGCCCATGGCAGGGGGGTCAGAACTAGGTGATCTTAAGGTCCTTTCCATCCCTAATTATTCTATGATGTATTTTCTGAATTGCTGAGTGTAGTCCTCTGCTGTCCCAGGTAGCCAATGTCCTTTTTGTGAACCTAAGTTCTGCGTTGTACTGTTAGTATTTCTACATTATCCTATTACTCCTCTTGAATAAAAACCAGAACTTCATGTTTTCCATTAGGAAGCTCACAAATAGTTTATGTTGAATGTTACTTGTACCAGACCTGATAAAGTATGTGTAGCTGAATACTACTCCATCTTTCCAACTATTTCAGGAAGTCTGCTAAAAGGTATTACTCCTACGGACAAATCCTTGCCTGGAACGTACCTTTAGACCATCCTGGATAAAACAGCATGCCAGTGCTGTGCTTAACTTTAAGCATCTTTTCCACCTCATGTATTTATCCCCCCCTTCAGTGTTGCTGTGTTTGTAGAAGGAAATTCATATTCCCATCATATTTTTTTTCTCCTTTACCAAAATGGTCAAAAAGTTATGATCTCTTTTTAGTAAATAGGCTCTCTATTCTTCTTGTCCTTGAAGTTACTCTAGTTGGAGGTGTCTAACCACTAAACATGAGGAAGGTGATTGCTGGGTCTACAAAGTAACCCAAAAACTAAATAAATGGAAAATTGCAGAGTTTATTTCCTGCTAATATGAGCAGATAACTTTAAGTCTATAAAACTTGCTTTGCCTCTGGTACAAACAAGCTTGTGGTATGAGTTTAACTGGAGAGTCTTGCAGTATTTCTGTAAACTGCTGGCAGTTCCTAACCTCTTCTGAGTGTTCATAGTTTTTACAGGCTGGGATTCAAGACTTCCCTTCAAAACAGCATCACTCAGTTTCTGCTTTCCCAGCTCTCCTTTTCACCTCGTCCCAAAAGGTCTTGTTTTTCCCCTTTGCTTCTCTCTCCGACCCCTGCTTGGAACGTCAGCTGGAATGGAAAAGTTGAGACTGAAATGCCGGCGCTTTCATTCCTGTCGAATGGTCCCTTCACTGCTTCCTCCCCCATGTTGTCAGCTCCAAAGGAGGTTGGCACATTCAGTGAGAATTTAGTTGTCTGTCTTGTCTTTTGCCAGCTGAGCTGGCTTCCTTATACTGGCAGTATATTGAAGTAAGACCTTTTAAAGTCTTAAAAGGGATGGCTTAGTTAAAATTCATGAGGAGTAGATATCTCTCATCTTTGCATCTCATGCCTTCTTTATTTTGTTTAATGTAATAGGTGTTTTTTTCCACCATTGAACAAACACAGTTTTGTGGAACCAATACATTATTCTTCTTGATGCCTGCTTTTGCCTTTTTGCTTGGGTGCATGTTTTATGCCAGGTTTATGGTTTTGCTCCTTTGGTTTTGTTGTTTACTCTTTTTTGCTTTTGAAATGGTGCTGATTAAGTTTCTCTTGGTTTTTTTGAGTCCTGACTGTAAATATGAATGTCTTGGAATAGTGACTAGTAAATGAGAATTGAGTCATGCTAACTGGGCTCAAAATACACCTTGTTTTTCCTTCTCCATAAATCTGTCTGCCTTTTCCACTTGATTTACCTAAAACCTCTCTTGTTTGCAACATTACAACTAAGCAAAAATGAAAATTGAAATAAGAAATAGATTGGAATAAAGGTTTGGAGAACTCAACCTGCTTTGTCTGAGCAAATTCCAAATCCGATGGTTAGACCCTGACTACATGAATTGTAGTAATGTAATAAATCCCTAATGTAATAAATACTCCCTACTGTGATAAGTCACTTTAATCAAATTGGTTGCCTGTTTTCTTGTTTTCCTTCACAGAAATGGAGCAGTGTGAGCAACCCACTCTTCCTCCCACTGATCCCACCTCAGTCCCAAGGATTCACAGCCATAGTTCTCACCTATGACCGGGTGGAGAGCCTTTTCCGAGTCATCACAGAGGTGTCTAAAGTGCCTAGTCTATCCAAATTGTTAGTTGTGTGGAACAACCAGAATAAGAATCCACCAGAAGGTAAGACCCCATGGTAGGTGTGCTGGAGGAGAGCGAATCTCGTGGTAGCATGCTTATTTTCACATGTTACAGAGTGACCCCTCTTCTAGTTAATGTGTCTTTGAAAAGTGTTTCATGGTTACTTCCAAAATAATAAACTTGGAATTTTCTTTTAGTGAGAAAAGCCAAAGCAGATGAAAAGGAAGAAAGGATTCCAGTGGTTGTGCTGCCAACTTAAAATCGTAGAATGGTTTGGGTTGGAAGGGACCTTAAAGCTCCTCCAGCTCCAACCCCCTGCCACGGGCAGGGACACCTTCCACCAGAGCAGGTTGCTCCAAGCCCCTGTGTCCAACCTGGCCTTGAACACTGCCAGGGATGGGGCAGCCACAGCTTCTCTGGGCACCCTGTGCCAGCGCCTCAGCACCTTTACAGGGAAGAATTTGTTCCTAATATCCAGTCTAGATCTCCCCTCTTTCAGTTCAAGGCCGTTCCCCCTAGTCCTGTTACTACATGCCCTTGTAAAAAGTCCCTCTCCAGATTCCTTGTAGATGCTCTACATATGAATCTGTCATTCTAATCTGTGTGGTGGTTTTGTGGGACAAGAAATGTTGTCTGCTAGGAAGGCATGTTCAAAAAGATGCTAGATTGTGGATTCTTCTGTCTGTAGTGAACAAAGCATGTCGTTAGGACTCCTCACTTTGTCATTCTCTTTTCAGAAGCTTCAGCTGCTGCAGCTTTCCACTCTTGGAACTTAGCTATTCTGCATAGCTGCAAGATACAATGTAAAAATTAATCTCTGACCACTAGTCTCAATTTACCATCTTCTAACTGCTTCTCAGAGCCAAGCTATTGCTGCCATTCACTTGGATCATTTGCCATTTTGGCAACTTGCTCCAGTTTAAAGCAGAGGAGCTTTATTGTTTGCTTTAAAGAGAGTCCTGTAATACTGCACTGCAAAACACCTCAAGTTTAGTGGTTTATTCAGTGTTTTGCAATCCTTTAGAGTGAGAAGTGTTGCAAATTGATGATAGCTGGAATTTTTGCAGTAAGAAGGGTTTTTTTTTTTATTCCTAAAAGCCAAAATGCTCTAGTGTTATATTCTGTTATGTGAGCACTGAATGTGGGTGGATTTCACCCAGATGGATTGTTTCCACATTTCTCTTGAGTGAGTCTGAGATACAGGAGAGTCAAAGGAAATAAATCATTAGAATGATTTTTTTTTCTTAAATCATTCTATTAATGTTGCATTTAGAAATTCTTGAAAATTATAGGGTGTTTAATTTGTTACCATGAAGTCATAAACTAGTTAAAAAACCCCACAACAATGAAAACCCAACAAACTTTGCCTGTAGAGCTTAAAACTGTGGATTTGAGAGCACAGTTGAAAGCAGTTTTGCCCTTACATTATGCTAAGCATTGCATTGAAGCAAATAATTATTTGTTTCTAGTGTCCCTTTATTGCTGTTATAACCATTGTAATCTCTTGGCCTATGGCTAGAGAGGTCAGTTTGATTAAATGAACTTGTTTTATTCCAGATCCATGCAGGGCATTCCACTTGGCTCTTCAGCCAGTCTCTCGTTCAGTCTGTCTATTAGTGATCCTAATCCTTGGACTTCAAAGCTTCTGCTGTTTATAGCCTGTTAAAGCCAGGAAGTTTCTGATGGATTAGAGCAAGGAATGAGTTTGAAGTTTGTAATGTGCACCACTGTCACTGATAAAGTCTGGTTTATTACCCTACAGTAGTATCTGCTCTTTTATGGCTATTCACTTTTAATTGGTTATAGTAAAGCTGAGGTGCTTAACCTCCTAGAGCATCAAGTGCTGTATTTCCTGGTCCTTTCCATGTAAGGGGCACAGTTGGGTACAAAAGCAGATCTTGGCTTTTGTTATTGCAACCGTTTTGTGCATTTGGTTTGTTTTGCATGTGTAAGTGGGAGGGTGGTGAAGGACATCCAGGTTGTCTTCCTTAGTGATTATGTGCAGTAAACTGAGAAGTGGATTTAGGTCTCCTGAGATGTAGCTGGCATAGTGCCACACAAATATGACGTGTGGCTGCTCCTTTCCTTCCTCTGTCAACACCAGAAATACATTAGAACTGAAAATGACATTGTTATCAAAGCAATACGTGTTGGAAATAGAGGGAATTCGTCCCTAGGAATAGAAAGTTTTGAAGTGCATCCAATTATCATTGATTTTGGGAGGTTAGTTTATTTACTTATTTATTTTAAAAATGAAAGCTTATGTACTTTTAATAATGCCTTTACGTAATGCAAGTCAGCAAACACAGGACTTGAGAGGAAAATGGCATAAAAATATTCTCTTCTAAATACTATACAAACCCTAAGATGCTGTACCCCTCAAATGTGCCATTCCATAAGATAAAAATCCTTTTTTGCTTTTTGTCAGCATTTAGTGCTGTATTTGTCAGCATGACAAATACTCTTCTCTTGTGGCTCAAGGCCAGGTTGGACACAGGGGCTTGGAGCAACCTGATCTAGTGGAAGGTGTCCCTGCCCGTGGCTGGGGTTGGAACTGGATGAGCTTTAAGGTTCCTTCCAACCCAAACCATTTTAGGATTCTATGAAAACACTTCCAGATATGTATGTTTTCTGGTTGTATATCCATTATTTTGTATCTTTAGAAACTGGGTACCCAGAGATGAAGTCTTCACCATCACTCAGTAACTCAGCTTCAGGGCAAGGAAGTGATTCAGGAAGGTCCTGTGCTTTGGCCTCTATTTTGCTTAGTTGAATACACCACCTTCCCATAATTTCTATATAGGTACATGTAAGGGGTGGAAACTTTACTGTGTATTTCGAGGTCTTTGTTGAGTCTGTGTGCCAAAGTAGGAACGTTGTGCTTTGCGTGAGACCGGAAACCAAGGGTCTAATCTTTTGGTTTTGAACTCAAAATATGAGCAATGTCTTAAAGAAGATAAATATAACAGGAACAGATGAATCTATGAGCAGCACAGATACCTTGTAGAAACATTGTGAAACTTTGAGTGATTATGATGGTAAAAATCACAGGGTTGGAAAGGACCTTAAGATCATCTAGTTCCAACCCCTCTGCCGTGGGCAAGGATGCTTCACACTAGACCATGTCACTGGATCTTATAGATGAAATAGCAGAGAGAAAATACAAAATATAGTGATGATTTTGATCTGGAATCTTAAAGCTTTGTATAACGAACTTAAGCACTCTCTGGATTCAGGGGGTGTGATCTCTGCTCTGTGTGTTTGGCTGAATTTTGCTATAGAGTATGCAAGAATCCTGTCAACTCAACAGTTAAACTGTCAGCAGACCCATGACTGTATAATATTTATAAAAAGATTAAATGCTCTGCATTACTCTGCATCCAGGGAAAGAAATACCATGGTCCAGGTGCCTGCTGCTGGGAATATTAGTGTAGACAGGATGTTTTTCATTGTCTCCATCAGCCAAATACTTTTACCCTTTCATTTGCAGTTGGCTAAATGGCTAGTTCTGAAATTCAAGAAAATAGTCTGTGATAGAAATTTCCACCAACGTTTCATTGTGTTTGTTTCAGACAATAGAAGAAACTATTTTGTCTACTGCATGAGTGGTACAAAAATGTCTAAATAGTAAATAGTTAGTAAATACTCGGCAAACTCCAAATCATTTAGCATGATTCCTTTTTAGGTTCAGAGTTACAGAAATGAAAAGTATGTTTTAAAGAATCTGTACTTTCTGTGTAGTTCTGTCGGTGGTTTCTGGAGCTGAGTTGTTGGTACACTTGGAATCAGATACAGGCTATAAGGTTTATGGGTATTACTGCAATAATCATCTTTGTATTAAAGTTTGATAGTGTTAAAGGATGACACTGATCTGAAACACTAGGGATAGGGAACCTGAGCATTAGGAACATTTTACAATGTTATTTCACAAGGAAGTCTAGAAATTTACCTTAACAAACCCAGCTTAACAGAACTGGACTTTAAATACTGCCCTAGAAACCAGTATTCTGGTTTGTTTTGTATATGAGGAATTCTGTGCATTACTGCAGATCAATACAAACATTGTAATGGAAGTAGAAAGCACCTGATCTGAGCAGATAGTTCTAAGTTGAAGCAGTTGAAATGCCTGGATAGATTTTTTTTCTTTCAGTCAGCCATTATTGAAGGAATTCTGGTAGTAAATAGATGTAATATAGAGTAATGGAATGGTTTGGATTGGAAGGGAACTTAAAGCTCATCTAGTTCCAACCCTCTGCCACAGGCAGAGACACCTTCCACTAGAGCAGAGATGCTTGATGATGTTTCTGACGGTGTTTTGAAACTTCAGATTCCAGCTAAGTTCTGCCATTCAGCTTTTGATACTGCAGCAGTACTGGTTAGGCTTTCATCATCCATGTTCAGTTAGCTGAATTTGTACAGGTTACTACAGACCAACTAGAATCAAATCAAAGAGTTGATAAAAGATCAGGTAAGAGAGCTAAGCACGGTGTATGGGATTCTCTGCAACTGAGATACGCACAGACAAGCATGTTTAGAGATGTTTTCTGCCAGGGTTTTTATTGATCGTAGTCAACCTTACACTACTTCTGGCAAGGTTTTTCCTTATTATAGTTCTACATGGGCTCTACAGAAGTTGTGGGAGGTCAGAGCTTAACATGCATTATTACTTTGGTGCCAGGTTATGAGTAGTCATGAGATATTCCTACCTGTTGTTACTGAGGAAGTAAACCAGGAAAAGCATGTTTGTATGAATCATCAAAATGCCATTGTTTTACCCAATAAGTGGATCTTTTTAAATTTTAATTTTAAGTTGTCATATTGCTCCTAATACTGTCAATCATTCAGTTCTTGCCATGAAGAGTGGACACTATATTTCCAGATCCTCCTCATTCTTACCTGCTACTTCCAATTGCAGATGCAACAAGCCATCTGCATTCAAGTATCACTTCCTATTTTTGAACTTGATACTGCTTAGAATGGGTGTCCAAAGAATCTTGGGTAGCTCTGTACAGCAGCTGTATTGATTCTCACTTTCCTGAGGT